AGGACTCGACGAGGCATTTGCAACTGCGGAAACGGATGAGGACGGGGCGGAGGTAGAACTTCCGGATGAACAGGAAGAAGCCGCAGCTGAAATGAATGCACCAGATAGCCGACGTAATGAGTGGGATCGTTTTCGAGATTACTTGGCTCAAAGTCAGTAAGCTGCGTGTTTGTGTAAGGACGTCGTTTTCCTACAATTACTGTTTGCGAAAAATGTTTCAATTACTGATCCTACAATGATGGAATCATTTGGTGTGTTTCAATGATTTGTCATCAATACAATATGATTTATGATGTTGTGTTGATTAAGCGAAACGATTTATTTATGGGAGCTAAAAATTTACGTATTTTGGTGTGTTTCGTTAACGTTTATTAACTTCACTTGAAGATATTATGGGATTATCAAAAACCAAATCTCACAAGTTGGTTACATATGCAGAATTCGCTTATTATTGTTGAGGATTGATGTACAAATTTTTCCATAAAAAAAAACGTAATTCATTTATCGTCTCACGTCTGTAATGCCCATGTCCAATTCATCATGTCATTTCCATTATGGGTGGGCCATGTAGTGAGATTTTCAAAGCCATAAATTTTTCAAAGTTTGAATTGGTCAAGCTGACAACCACATGCATGAACATGACAAAGGGTTGTCATTTTTTGCAAGGATAATATGGTAATTCTTCCTAAAATTATGAACACACCATGCAGCTGCATTCTGAGCACTGGGCCCCGCTTGAAGTGACCGAAAAATTGATTCTTAGTTGCGAAAATTGCTCCCAGACGTAGGCTTAATCTATACATACAAATATATATAAATATATAAAAAGATATATATATGTGTGTGTATATAAAATTAACCCAACCCAACCCCACCCCACCTCCATCACCCCTACCGCTTCGACGACTACTCCGGCGACCTCTCCAGACATTCTGGCGACTACTCCGATTTCGGCGATTTCTCCGGCGACTGCTCCGATTCCAGGTTACAGTCCAATTCACAAGTCACAGTTTAGGTCACAGCTCAAGTCACAGTCCAAGTCACAACTCAGGTCACAAGTCGCAGTTCAGGTCACAACTCAAAATTTTGTTCATGGTCACTAGTTATTTTCAAATGATCATAGCACAGGTTACAAAATATTTTTGCATATGACTCAGATTAATATTTAGTCACAAATTATAGAATTTTAAGGTCACGATTAATCCATTATGCGGTCACAATTAGTCCATTATGCGGCTCCAATTGGTCACGAAACACAACACTGATTCAAACAATTGCCGCCCGCACCCCACCATCAATCTCGATCCACCACCGTCGCTACATTCACCACCAAAACCACCGCTGCCTCCGACAACAACACCACCCCCTCAAACAATCAGAAAAACACCACCGCACCAAACCGCTAAGTACGAATCAAAAACTAAAAAACTCCCAAATTTTCAACCACCAGATAGATTAATTTAGTCACCACCACCATCTCACCTATCACCCAATGCTACGTCCGGCACCATGACACTGTAAAGTACGAATCAAAAACCAAAAAACTCCCAAATTTTCAACCACCAGATTGATTAATGAACTCCCAAAAGAAACAGTGCTTACAGATGCAAAATTTCATCTTGTAAGAAAAAATGCCATGGAGATGGTAGATTAATGATTAATGAAGTCCACCCACACACAGTAGATCTGCATGGTTTGGCACCCCAAGCAACCGGTGGTGGTACTGCAGTCGCCGTCGATGAACATTCACAACCTGCAGATGGCGCAGATCTACAACGTCGTCGCCTCGCCGACCACAAATGGGCTGGGTCTATGTCGCCATGGTGTAGTACTGCAGTCGCCGCCGATGAACTTCGCGATGCTGCTGCAAATTAGGTAGGGAGGGAGGGCGCCGACAGCTACGAGAGAAATAGGGGGCGAGGGAGAGGAGTTATGCCGAAAGATGAGAAATTAGGGATTTAAGTTGGGGCGGGGCGGGACATATAAATTAATTTTTATAATATTAAATATAAAAAATCTGTATCTACCTATAAAACATCTGACTCTTGAAAATAAAAACATAAAATCTGATTTTAGAATTTGAATTTTCAAAAGTAGGGGAGGGTGTAATTTCCACTTCTATTATCTTGAGTGTTAAACCATTGTATTTCAGCCGAACTCCAGCCTTTTGGACTCACAAAGGGGTAGAAAGCATTGTTTAAGCAGAATTTTGGCAAAAAAATAGTGATTTTTTGAAAAATATGCGATTAAAAATTTCAGCTTTACTGCACAAAATATTTTATTATATAAATGTGTGATTGAAAATGAGTTTGAGAAAAAAAATTATTTTGATGAATGTCGACAAAATTTTAAACAAGTACTTAATTACATCAAAATAAAATATATACTAGCAATACGTCATTTATCAACGAATGCGCACTTAGCGCTTGTTTGAGCTTCGTGTGACGGATCGCAAGGTGATGTCCTAAAATCTAACATGACACAGGGATGTCACCTAAAATGGTGGGGAAATGACTAATATCCATAGTGGCTGGTTCATGTCCGGGTCATGCCTAGAAAATTCGGGTGTGACTGCAGTCACT